ATCACAGAAAACAGCTACTAAAATGTTTATAGCAATCTTTCCGTATTTTTAGTGTCATTTAATACAAAAATATTTTTCTCAGGAACATGTTTCAAGAAAGGTATTTTGGACCAACTATTTAATAAAAGATGAGTCTCATTTGAAATGATTGCCAGTGGATTTCGAGGATTTTTCAACAATGATAACATCGTACAACATTTCAAACTCCAATCCAACCGGGAGCAGAAACAAAATTAAAAAATCAATAAAACCCAACCACTGTATTGGAAGCTTTAAATTAATTAAATGATATTAAATTTTAATTAAGTAGTTAAGCTAAACGTTAATGGTAGTTGAGTGTAATCATCCGCTCCGCCTACATTGTGGAGTGAATGGAAGTTAAGAATGTTGTAGACATAGAATTTCAAAATGAAACGTTAGTCGCGTTTAAAAACGAAAAAAGTTTTTGCTCCATATGTCTGAGTTCTATTCAAAAAGAATCCAACGAATTATAAAATGTTTAGTATACATTGCCTGAGAATGTGGTAAAAGACATTCTTCGATCATCTTTTACATAAAACTTTGTTGACTCAGAGGACTGTCGGAAAAACTATATTTAATGGTATCGTTATGGTTAATTAATATGCACTAAAATTCCTGTAGCCGGGTCAGTAAAAACTAAGAAATGTTCTCTCTTTAGGAGAATAGAAAATCTTATTATCCGAATTTCGATACTGGCTAAATTTTTCCAGCTTTTCTCATCGAACAGAGCACTTGTTTCATGATTATTTTAGTCATTTTATCAGATTAATAAAAACTTTGCCACGTCCAACACTTCGTACCGATAAATTTCACGTTAATCGAAAGTTTTAAATCGATTTTTAAATGGACCCATTTTATTGTTAAAAAGCGATTTGTTTTTTGGAAGAAAATTTAAATTAAAAACCCCTTACGGTGAATTTTGGTCAGATTTTGGTATAATTTCCTAAGACAGAATATAATTTTTTAAGGGCTATTGATAAAAGGGAATATGAATTATAGAGTAGATATATAAATCAACAGAACTGAATTGTACACTGCAGCATCTGGTAATTGAAGCACAATGAGACCAAAAGCAAAACGGCTAAGTGGGTAAATTTTGTTTGAAATAATTCGTTTAAGCCATGTACCCTCTTAAGCAGCGCTTTCGCATGAATTACATGTTTTCTGTGGCATGCCAAGGCAAATTGACTTGTTAAATTAATAAAATGCAGTGGTGTTAATAAGTGATACCTGCAACAAGCCAAGTAATACCCAATTGTACGTATACAATTGGTATGCCGACGCTATTGAAAGCGACAAAGGTATGTATGTATGTACATACACGTACATAAGTAATAAACGCGGATATGTAGGCGGTGGAGCAGCGGAAGAGGCGGTAACACTGGCAGCGTTTTATTTGAATTATTAGGGTCTGAATGTGCATTTCCATTTAATACAATAACAACATCAAATACTATACACTTCTCTTTACGCCCACACCGTACATACATATATACTACTAAATTCTTTGCTTAATGTGTTTATCCTATTCACCGCCTATGAATTCCCGTTCATTGAAATAAATATATGTAAGTGTATGGATGTAAAAGAGCAAATGTGTATTTTGTTAGAGCAATCCAATAAACTATGCATAACTACAAAGGACCTTTAAGCCATCGCTGTGAATATTACATTGCATATGTACATGTACGCATGCACATATATATAATTACGGAATATTTATATGTGAATAGGTATTTTAAACAGAGCTTATATTTTTCAATTTTCAATTGAATTCCCTCCTCACCGCTGCCCAGAGTGCAACCGAATTTTCACAGCCCAAACATAAGTATATATCTACTTTTGATTATATTTATATATGTATGTACATATGCATGTACATATGGCATTTATATTTCCAGGTTTGCATTTACCCCATCGCCAACGTAATGAGCATATGCAAATTATGTGTTGTTTACGGTCATTTGGGAATATCCGCATGCACATATCTCTGCTCATCTATATACGTGTATGTATGTACATTCGTATATATTTAGATACAGACAATTAATTTGTCCACAATAGTTTTACATTTGTTGGGCCTGGTCGGTAATTGAAATATATGAGCGTAATTATCATTTTCAATGAATATTTATGATTTTCTTACTCCCAAAAGTGCAACTCTACATTGGTAAAATCTCACCCGTGTGTACATACTCGTATGCACGTGTGAGATTTTACTCATACGTATAAACATATGTAATATTTATTATTCATGAAGATAAAGAATCGCCATTTCACTGTTTTTCTGCAACAAAAGTTGACGTCAAAATTTTTTTGATATTTTGTTGTCTTCTGTTCTTTTAAGGTGATAACAAATTCTGATGTATGTATGTATATCAACAAACCTATTAATAAAAAAATTAAAGGTTAATGATTGCCAAGTTAGAAATATTCTCAAGTTCTCTGATTCCTTAAAGCATTAATAAGACCCATCTTCTTCTAAAGAGTAAAGTTTAGAGGAAGGCTATGTGAAGCTCTGCTGAACATTCTCCTGTTGAACCTGCATGGGAAACTTTAAACAAGCTGCAAAGCTAAAGACGTTACGCACAATCCCATCCAGGAGAAACCGCTACATAGTATACGCCTGAATTCTACATCACAGCCTTCCGTCAATGATTAATATTGCGGGCGTCTCGAAATTAGATGGCAGAGTACACTGCGGAGTCCACTCAGCGCCATTAGCAAACGATATGAGTAAGAAATGCGCGTCCAGTGGATCGTTGGCAAACAAATCAAACTGCCATTAAAGACGATGGCTGATCGCTGTTTTGCTGCACCACTTGGCACAGGGGTTCCAGAAGGCAAATACGAGGCCAAAACACGAAATTATTAAAAAAAATCGAGGGTATTTGAGGTCGCTGATTACGAATCTGATATTATAAAAAAAATAACGCGGATCCAATATCGCGGTCATAAAATCTCTGAAGTACTTTAATTTTAATTAAAATTGTTACTCGGGGGTTTTTGACTCGATTACTGGAGAGTACAAAAAAATTTGAGTTTACATGAAATTTATTATTCAGTATTCGAACTATAAAATTATTGCTACCGAAAGCAATCATTTAAAAAAATGGGTAAAGTTGGGGCAAATTTTCGTTTTTTGTAAAAAAAATAAATGTATCCGAAATACGATAAAAAATATTTCAGAGTGAGATGTTGTGGGGCTTTTGACTTATTCACTTTCTAATTTTTAGTTTTGGAAATATATTGAATGCTCCATAAACAAATTATCAACAAATTTCAATTTATGTCCTTAGCAAACTTTCATTTTACTTACCTGTAACTGGCGATTCCCTGTCATAAATCTTAAATTCTCTAAAACTACGAGAAATGGACAGTTTTGAAGATTACACACTCGATGTGGCGCACCGGACGCTCGGACCAGAACTGCTTCTAATTTCCAACAGTAGACATACCAACCCAACTATTTCATATATTAAATGCTCGCAATGTAAACGTTTTGGCTTTTGGAACCACTGTGCGTTGCGTGACAGATTGACCTTGTCGTCTTAGATGAATTCATCCAACTCTACCTAAGTTCACTCATAACCAGCGCTGGTGCCAACCCAACGTTGAAAGTTGTCCATCTCTCAATTTTTTGTGCTCCCATTATTTTGTTGATTCTTCCGGAAATTTTCAATAAATAACATGGAAAACTTAATTTAATATAACAGATATTAAGCTTTTCGATAGAAAATTAACTGAATAGTGAAATGTTTATTGTGTCAAAGCATTTGTAATTAATTTTTTTTTTTTGTTTTTAAAGTTTGAAATGCATGGAAACTCTGGCTCAGGTTCGCTGTTTTGGTCCCAGGCCACAGTTTCAAATTACCATACCATGTGAAATTCGTAATCCCTTAAATCACTGCTTACTGACTGAGTCAGTGTAGTATTATGGTAGCTATAGAAACCGAAGTGGAGACACCGATGGTCGTGTGGTTAGCATTGCGGACAGTCATTCTGAAGACCAGGTCGGACAATACCCATAATTATAGAATATAAATTTTTCTATATAAATTTTTCTAATTCTATAAATTTTTCCTCGACAGGGAATTTCAAGCCCTCCGAGCGAAAGTTTCTGGCATGAAATAAATGCTTCTCATAAAAATCCATTAGACGTTCGGAGACGGCTTAGAATAAACTGTAGGTCTCTCCATTTGTTGGAAAATCACAAATCGTCGGAGGAGCTTGGCCAATAATATAATAATAAGCAAGAAATCTTGTCTCAGCTCGTCAGCAAAGTCCTTCTTATAATATGCCTATAAAACTGATATGGAGTTTTGCAATCTAGTTATGAGGTGCAGTTTGCTCGACAAATATTGAAATATTACAAAGATTCAATCCAAAATTCCAAGAACTATATATTCTGTTGGATTTTTCGATTTCCCTCAGACGCGCCCCACGGTCGGTTGGGCGGAAGGTGGGTAACGTTGGGTTCGTCGTAAAAAAAAATATTTTACGAGCAACAAAAGCATGTACTGGGCAAACATATTTATATTCTATTTAATTTTAAGATTTTGTAACTTATTATTAGGCTTCCAACGATGTAGCTCATTCTATAAATAAATAATAATTTTAATAATAGTAAAAAATCTCCGTTCCCAAATTGGTCACGAAATATGTTATTTGGTTGGTGTACGTTTAAATGATATTGAATTTTTTTTTTTTGGTTTGGTTGGTTTCATTTTAATGTGGATATCTCACTCGTAGGCGTGTTAAGACATAAAGACGCTCTCTGCGTATCATATGCATATAACATAAACGTGATTATGCAATTCAATTTAATCTTGAAGAATAGGGTAGGCGGAAGAGTGTTTAATTGTTTGCTTTTACAAAGTGGTCCTGCTCTAATGACATTTTTACATACATATTTACATGCTGTGAATTGTGTAAACTCATTTCAAATTCATATATTTTTGATTTTTTGATTGTTTTAGGATTTCCCGGTGATGGTGATGAAGATAGTAATGCGGCAAAGCGAAGGCGATCGAGAACTAACTTTAATTCCTGGCAATTGGAGGAGCTGGAGCGTGCATTCTCTGCCAGTCATTATCCCGATATTTTCATGCGTGAAGCCCTCGCTATGAGATTAGACTTAAAAGAAAGTAGAGTTGCGGTGAGTTCTGATTAATATTTTATTATACGAAAGAATTGGAGGAAACTTTATGTGCATATTTCAATATGAAAGACTTTATTTATTTATTGGAAATTGCATGATGATGATCGGCACAGTGTTTTAGGTTGCCTTACATATGAAATGTTTCACGTGCTTTTCAAATAGGTAATTGATATACAAATCTTGCAAAAAAAATTTACTTTCACTTGATACTGTTAAGCAATAAAAATCCGTATTTGTTAGTGGCACTTCTCGCTCGAAGAGTCGATTTTGTGAGCACGATAGCGACTGCAGTTTTCATCTGAAACATAAAAACGAATACTTTTTTTGTAGCTTAGGAGTTGCTCTTCTATGTGATCCTAAGAAATTCGAAGAAATGTATAAAAGTATTTATTTTATGACTGTTTATAAAAAAATTTTGCGTTTTTCTGCAGAACTTTTAAGATAATTTATTGAAAAAGGTTAATAAACAATTTTTTTTATTGTGATTTTTTAGGGTCACATAGAAGCCTACACTATGAGCTGTAAAAAAAGGTATCACTTATTAAAATGCGACAATTGTAACTTTTTTAATGGCGTGCATAAAACAGGAAGACTATGTTTTGAGAAAATCGCGTTCAAAGCTCTCGCGCCCGCTTATCAGTCTCTTGAGCGCATTGTCTCTTAGAGGCCATTTCTGCGGAACGATTTGACTCTGAAGTTTTGTGGAAATATTTCTGAATATATTTCTAATCGAATGAGATAAGTTTCAAAAAATCGAGTTTTTTGACCCTCTAAAACAGGTTCCCCCTTAACAGTTTAATTGGTTAGATCTGGCTTGATATTTTTGTGCTACACAGTCAAGCAAATCGAGAGTAGTTTTTGGTGCACTTCCGGGAAGGAAAAGTACACTCTATGTCAATCTAGGCATTCAAATAGTTTCAACAAAAATTAAAGTAGAAAAATTGAAGGATTTTTTTAAGTAAATCTTCCCCTGGCCCACTTTCCAGAATAATTGCTTCCAAATTAAAAATTGAAAAAGTCAGACTCATTATGATATGCATGCAAATTTAATTATGAAAAAGAAATAAATATTTGAAATTTCTGAAATGAAACGCTTTGTTCCAGATAGGTATGGTTCCAGAATCGACGAGCAAAGGTGCGGAAACGTGAGCACACCAAGAAAGGACCTGGACGACCTGCACACAATGCTCAACCTCAAACCTGCTCCGGTGAACCCATTCCGCCAAGTGAATTAAAAGCCAAAGAAAGGTAATTCATATGTCTTATTAAAGTGTCCTCTTCTGTATATAAATTTGGTAAACATTTTTTGTCCTATCTAGAGGAAAAAAAGCAAAGTAAACTAAAAATGCAATTGCTGAGTCAGGTAGATAAAGTACAAACACACCGATTTTAGTTTTGTTATACAATTAGAAGCGTCGGCTGCCGCGGTAGCCGAGTGATTAGCATTGTGTACTGCCATTCGGAAGGCTCGGGCTCAAATCCTGATATGATAAATATCTAAAAGATAAAGAAAATTATTCTAATATATAAAGTTCTCGTGTCGCAGTATTAGACACCATAATCCTCCGAAACGGCTTTACCGATTTTAATGAAATTTTATATGAATTTATTTAAATATTTTTGTGATGTGACATTAGAAAATACATATAAGCCTAGATTCTGTCCCTTCTATCACCAACGCCTACCTCTTTCAATCAAACAATTTTTTCCGGTTTATGGCTCAAAATTTTTTATGCCAAGCATAGAATATAAAAAAAGAAATTTATTATTTGGTATTACATGATTCTTGATAAGGGGTTTTTCATTTTTCGCAATATCGATTAGAATAAAAAAAATATAAAAAAAATATACATTTATATATTTTAGTGTACTTCTAACATAAAATAAAGGCTCCTAATAAAAAACCATCAGCCGTTCTGAGGCGGCTGTAGGTCCCTCCATCGGATACAAGACTCACCTGGAAAAACCACATAGACAAAAAAATTACTCAAATCCCTGAGGAAATAGAGAAACTGCTTAAAAATTACTCATTAAGGTTATCTAACCACCCAAGCTTCCTAGCTAAATAATTATGACAGCAGAACTACACTAAGCGATTAGAGAGAAAGGATTTACGTTTGAACTGTGACTAAGGGATCTGCCGCATCCAATTATTCTACATCGGAGTGCGCACCGTCCCCTGGTCCTTCATGATATTATAATTTGCTTCAAATTATTGATATCTATATAAACACATTCTTTGATAAATCTGAGTTATATTTGTAATTTATTGTACTTTGCTTACTTTGTTGATCTATACAGCGGCAATGATTAACTTGTTCCAGGAATAAGAATTAGCTTTAAGATTTTCGAAATTGTTGTTAGTTTCCAAAAAGGAAAGATTCAATAAAACATTACAGAAAAAATAATAATAATTTGTTGGGAAAACAACAAGACGCAAAAAACCACAAATTAGAGAAGGAGCTCGGTCTAAAATCGCTTTAACGGTTACAAAGCGCCTTTTCTATATATACAATTAGAAACAAGATGGATAACATGAAATTTTTATTAGCTATTTATAAAGCTTGTATTTTATAACAATAAGTCCAATGAATACCCTCAACCCGGTGAGATAGTTCATTCAGTTCATAATTTCTTTTACATGACTTTAATAGTATATGCCTAGATGCACGAGATGGAACATGGAGTAGAGAGGAAGATTTATCGCAAAGTTCCATCGGAAATGTCTTAATGAAAAATGTAAAATTTGATTTTGAACAGACCCTAACTTATCGGCATGAACTTTATACAATAATTGGGGCTCCATATCAGTGAACCATTCTAATATTGGCCACACCAAAGTCGTATGTAATGCTTTAGTTTCAAAAGGGTCTTTAAGTTCTCTTGACAAAGGCAAAAGTATTTTTAGGCTGTGATGTTGATACAAAGATGGAAGTTGAGCTTAGGGTCCATCCTAAACCCCAAATCAACCAAGTTGAAGACTTGCCCTAGACTACAGTTATTAATTATATAAAGAGAAAGTTGAACAAGTCCTTGTGAAAATCACATTGTCTTACCCTTCCGAAAATAGCTAAATTGTCTAGATCGTTTCTCTCGTCGAATGAGGTATATACATAAAAAGTTTTACATCATCGGCATAAAACAAGATATTTGAATGCTTTATTACCGAAGATATATCATTTATGAATAACAGAAACAGAATCGGGCCGAGATGGCTACCTTGAGGAACTCTTAATGAGATATTATCTAATTGTGATAAAGTGCCTTTAAATGTTACCCGTTGGACTCTACTCTTATGCTGTAATCGATATCTAAAGTTTTATCTCTGATTGAAAACTCAACAATTAGTAAAAATTGATATATCCAACATTCAGATTTTTTTCTCGATATAAATTAACTATATTAGAACCGATAAAATTGAGTAAATAGAATGAGTTCTTATACATAAATGTATATAAATGCATACATATGTACTATTTGTGGAATGCAATATATATATATATAATTGGCGCTTTATAACCGTGGAAGCGCTTTTCGTCCGAGCTCTTACAACTATTTGTGGTGTGCGTCTTGATGTTGGTTTTCCATCAAGTGGAGGAGCTACAGTCTTTTAAACCCCGCCGAACGACTAAAGGACTTTGTGAAAGCATTGCCTAACGCAAGTGAAATATTGATTTTCTTCATTTTTGTATTGATCTTACTGGAAATCGAACCCATGGTAGTACGTACTGTTAACCACTCGGCTTATTTAACTATCACCTAAATTCAAACATTGCAACTTGTAGATGATTTTGTTAATGTAAAAATTTTACAACTTCTATTTTATACTTTAGTTTATTATATTATATACATACATATTATATTTTCTAATTTTATAATTTTGAGTTTGGATTCTTCAAAATAAAAATTTATGAAATAATTCATCAGGGTATAAAACCACCGTAGATATTACTGAAAAATCAATTGTTTATTAGCTTCAAACTTTTTTTAAATATTGTGGTATAAAAAACAAAAGTTTTCAAACGTACCCAATATTGATTTCTTTAAAATTTCGAGCGCTTATACTTACATACATTTAATATATCTCAAAACATTAGACGGTGTTTTCTCAAAACGCATTTTGGAAACGGCTCGCCGAATAACTCAAATTATTTCCAAAAATTTTAATACGGTTTTTCCTCCATCTTTAGAAAAACTTTTCAAAACATATTACGAAAGTGTTCATTTTGTAATAATTTTTCAAAATAAGACTAATAACTTCCCAAATCATTATATGTATCTGTATCCCCTTGCCTTCCGTCTAAGTGTTTTTTGACGCTTACAGTTACAGTTTCCCCTAAAAGACTTCCTGTGAACTTGCGTATGGATGGTCTCCCGCACATTGCAATACTTATAATTGTTGTAAAAAGTATAAAAGAAAACAATTTAGTGGAAAACTTTGTCTTTATATGGCGATATCTGAATTAATCGAACTTAATAATTAAATAAAAAATCTTCTTTACTTCTAGGGCACGACGAAGAAAAAAACTGGCAAAAGCCATTGATCGGCAAGCGCGAAAGTTACAGGCCAAAGGTATCACTGTCGACCTGGAAGCGCTCAAGGCCGAATACATATCCCAACACAAGGCTAACGGCACATTTTCTGACTCAGATCTTGAAGACGATGGCATACAGATAGACGTGGTGGGTGGAACGGACAGCGACGATGACGCCGACGACTGCTCATTTCGAAGTCCCAGAGCAAATAGCCTAATACCAGGGAGCTTCTCACCGAACAGTAGTCAAAACGGTATTGAAAGTCCCGTGTCCAATGGGGAACGGCACATTGAAGACGACAGTAATGCAGCTGATGTTGGTGCAAAACCTTCTTTCATTTTTCCTACAGCAAGTAATCTACGCTTAAGTCTCCCAAGTTCTAATATACCCGCCAATGAATATCAACAGCAGCATCAGCAGCATCAGCACAAAAATCAACATAATCAAATACATCAAAATCACAATAGCAATCAACAGCAAACATCACCAATCAGTATCCGACGGAATAATCCATTTAGCATAGAGTCGCTGCTGTTTAACAACACGTGAGATTTATTGAGATGGTTAAATGGTTAAATGCAAGGCAACAAGTTGTACGCTTTCTCGCAAGCCATTGCTTATGCCCACTTTACCCATCAGCGACACATAGCATACGTGATAGCACAGCCACACATACACAGCAACTGTACATAAGCAAAGCCACTTTTTATGCATACATACATGCATATGTACATACATACGAGTATGTTACATTTATCTGCATAGAGACAAGCAAAAAATAAATAAGTAAACGCTTACTATATATATATATGTATATATTATATTTCTGTATATATCTGCCTATTTATTACTAGTTAATACATACATACATACAGACATACTTACATATAATTATGTAAATGTATAATACATATGTATAAATATACAAATTTATCAAAACATACGCGTATAAACTCAACTAATAAGCATAGTTACATGATTACCATGCAACAGTACATATGTATGTACGTGTGTACACAAACATTTTGTGCAACAGAATGCCGAGGCTTAGAAAATACCACCCACACGAAATTCATATCAAAACTGTTAGAGAAATATATACATACATATATGTATTGTATTTAATAAAAAAAAAAGCAACCAGAGCCAATTACGCGAAATTCGTATAATTTAGGTACCATAATGAGTAGCAATTTGTTTATACGCATACACATATACATACGTGTAAATATGTACATACACAAGATGTAATTTATGGCAAAAGTAGAATGCCCAGTTCTATAATTTTTCGAAAAATTCTCCACTGATATACTCGTATCCATCACTTTAATGTATAATAAAGGGTTATCCATTTAATCGTTCCAAAACTAGAGGGCAGTATATTGACATCCGTCAAATTTAACTATCAAACCAAACATGTGTTGTTTTATATATTTATTTCGAAAATTTATCGCTAAACAACCGCAACGTTTATGCTGTTATGTTTTTGTGCTTAAAGAGGAAATTCTGGTGTACATAATCGTCCAACTATTTAAGAAATAGATAAAACTTTAAAAAAATTTCAAAAGACCGGTTCGGTTACAGATATTGTGAGGCCTGCTCAAATATCGCTGCTGTAAGTGTAGGTGTAGCCGAAAAACCGAATGTGTCCTCAAGAACTGGGATTTTCTTACTTATGGCATATTTTTCACGTGGACTTACGGCTACATCCATATAAAGATCAGCTCACACAACAACTGAAGCCGTACATAACTCGATTAGGTGCTTAACAACAAGCGGCATACATCGATTTCTCACTCGCGAAATGTGTAAATGGCAAATTGTCGCATTTAGAGCTTCGAGAATTCTCAAATAATTCAAGAGAGGACATTTAACCACCAAAAACACTTACTGTCTGGTGTCTTTTTTGGTCCGTAAGTGTGATTGAACTTGTCACCACCACTCTCAATTTTTTTGGCTTGCAAATGAAGAACTCGACTTGGACAATATGCAATCTGGTGTCACATGCCACATAACACGAGTTCTTACGATAAAAATTTGCCGGCTGCGTATTTTCTGTCGTATTGGCGATGTCAATCTGACATGGAGATTGTACGATTTCTCGCTGTTGGATTATTTTTTGTAAGGCTACGCGAAATACCGTGATTATGCGGATAAATCTTTAACTTTTGAGCACTTGGGAGCCAACATTCGACAAGTTATGACTGAGATATCGCCTTACCGTGAACAAAATATGCTCTAACGGATTGAAGTTTTCGTGAGGCGGTCATTTGAATACTATATTATTTTTAATGCCAAAGGTCAAAAAAATTATTTTAAATGATTTTATTATCGTTCATTTTCAAAACCGTAAATTTGTAGCCCTGTAAAACAACGTATATATGTAAAAACGTTTATAACCTTACAAAATCATATTCAAATGTATTTATTAACGTTTTAGAAATGTTATAAAAGACGGATAAATATTTTTCAATGATTGAGCTGTCGAGGCTAGATTTTTCTGTAGACCCAATTTTTCAATTAAGATATATGGATATGTATGTATGTATATGTTTTCGTTGGTGGTCCTCTGTAAAACATCTTCGCACTTTAATTTCGCGTTTCAAATTTCGAATCGCCTTTGAGTGGTTGATATAGCACTTCTCCTTAACGGCGCCCCAAAAAAACGTTTGCGGTTAAAGACTCAAAATTCTCGAAGTAAATTTTCAATACTTTCGAATTTTCTTCAACCGTGAACCTATCCGCTGTACTGAATATTTGACATATGGAGAATGTCATTGAAGATATCAAAGTTCAAATAAGTCGTAGTTCAAAAAGTAAACGGTCCACTTTACTATTTTCATACAAAGTGCCATGTCCTATACACGTCTCTGAGTTGAAAATAACAGTACTTTTACTTTTCACTAATTTTATGTTTTAACTTATTATATTTTGATGCCGTCTTTAATATCCATTTAAGAATAACTAGGATTTTCGTTTAACGTAATTTCCTTTCGAACGATTGCAGATACGTTCACGGATTGGGTGATTTGATTCCAGTTGTTTGCTCTTCTGAAAAGTTACATTGACGATCTGTAAGCATATATATATATATATATACAACTGGAATCAAATCACCAAATCCGTGCAGGTATATACTCGTATATATAATTGGCGCTTTGCATCGAGCTTCTCGGTGATGATGTTTTTCTAAGAAATGGGGGTACCTATAGTTTGTACTAAGCCGCCTCCGCATTGTTGATGGTTTTTTTATGAGTTACTTTATTTCACGTCAGAAATACACTCGGGAGGGTTTACATTCAATGCCGAAGGGCGACCAAATTTAGAAAATTTAACAAAATATAATTAATTATCTTCAAATTTTTAGATGTTGGTCCAACCAGGATTGGAATCCTTGCCCTTTCCGAATGGCAGTATACAATCCTAACCACTCAACTGCCGCGGCCGCTATCTGTAAACCTACATACATACATATTTATGTGTTGTCAACAAATCCGACGAAATGTCGAAAAGTAATTATGTACAAGTAAATTAATGGAAATACAACCGTTGAAAGTCTGAATAATTTTAATATGCTTTTGGAAATTTCGGCGTTTGAAGCAGTGTGCGAGTACATTAACAAAGCAATTAGAAAATGATGATTGGAATTCAAATTTAATTTCCTAAAATTGATTAGCAGGGATTTGCACTATAAAATTATTACGGTTTAATGAGTTTGTGATGAACATACTATATATGTAAATATATAAATGTATGTGCAAATAATCATATGAATTTGAACTAGTTTTAATGGGAATATTTGTCATAATTTTCTTTTTTTTTGATATACCATAAGAAAGGATAGGCCCGTGAAATTCAGTATACAGACAAATAAAGACTTACTTAATTGCTTCACACTATGGTACATTTGTAATGCTTTCATTTTGTTAGTAAAAGCATACACAAATTAGCGCTTGAAACTCTGGTTTTTATGTCAGAAAGTCTGACTGCGAAAGGAGTTCTGTTGAGTTTTTGACATTTGATAAGTTGAATGGCTCTAAAGATATGAGAAATTAATACTTCTAAATATGAATTCTGCATTTGTATATACATACATACATACGTGCACATTTACATATTTATTACGCAATTCTATTAAGTTTTGTCAATTAGGTTTAATAACACATACACATTTATATTGATTATGCCATTACTATAATTTTTTTTCAAAGGATGAGTAAAGTTTTTGTAAAATTTGTCAATATTTATTGAAAATCACTTTCGCTGAGATAATTTCTTCGATCAATACATACATATATATAGTATGCGTGTTTGTATGTATGTATGTATGTATGTAATTTGATGAGTGCAGAAGGCTTTGAATATTGGATAAATCTATTTTTAAGTGCAATACAAATAGACCCATGCATACATACGTGTATGTACAATATGTGCAACTAGTTACATACATAAGTATGAATGTCCATAAATTTAGGGTGAAAATGGATAATTTAGATTAATAAATTACGTAGAATAGATTGTACAATATACAAATGTACGTGTATTTATTGAAATAATGTTTGATTTTATGTCTGATGCTTTAATACCTCTGTAGCATTTTAGTTTATTTAGTATTCTCATTGTTTGTATTTGTATTCGAAACGAAGTAAATTGTATATATTTGCAATTAAGATAATGTAAAACAATTTAAAAATGAAAATAATAAATAAATAATAATATGACTTACTGATTCAGAAAATGTTGCGTAAGAAGTTTACAAAAAAATTAAAACATTCCATGGTCACCAGTCATTACCGCCAGGGGGTGTTCTCCATTGATATTCTGGAAAGAATCACAGAGCTTAGAAATCCCGTGGCTTCAAAATAGGGGAAATAAATCTATACATATAAACATACATAAATGAACGATGGATCTACTATACTTGCCTTCCATGTCGCAACGAACTTAATTGCATATTAATACGGGTTAGGCCGTTATGGCTTGTGATCACAGTTATGTTATTCATTTTAATACTCGTATTCGGCTTGAAATGCAGGTAAGCTGTTTAATTGTTTTGTACTTGAGCACTTTCCGTCGAACACTCACCGAAGCGAAATTGAGCATAAAAAAGCGAAATTCAAATTGATAAAAGGCAAAACTAATTTAGATGCTAATACAATAATTTCATACAATAATAAGGCTCCATTGGCTTCCTAGTAAAAGCCTCGAAATGTTGAGATCATGTTTACACGAGTTAAGTATTCTTACTTTCAAGTTTTGATTTAAAATTCAAATTCCTTTATAAAAAAACCCAACTTCAAAAGTTGAATAGTCGAAAGTAAGAAAAATCAATATATATTTCATTGATTGATTTTCGACGGAGCATAGAACATTTAGAACTGGTAATGACTTATGAATTCTAACGTAGTCCAAAATCAAGAATGGCACAAAGCCAATTGAGCCCCACAATCGGCAACCAAAGCCAATGCATTCGGTATTCAGTTTACATTGTATTCAACAAAAGAAATGAAGAGTGTACTCTGTGTGAGATGCTCCTTTAACGGTATTCGTCATTTTGATCTCTCTTCAGGAAATCAAACTAGTATGGTCATTTATTGCATATACATAAAGACCTCAGGAAAAAACGCACATCATCTAGCCAACCTCAAAGCGATTGGCTCCATAATTATAACACAAAAATTAACTGATGAGTCATACCCGTTAGCTTTGGTTTAGCACCAGGGAATAAATATGCGTTTCAGTTGCCAAAATTTTCACTTCTACACTCC